AATTCACATAGCGTGTTGATAGTAAGGCACCAGACACTGAACAGTCAGGGAAAAAAAATCCAACACCAAATATAGAATAGCTTCTCTTTTAATAAATTCCTTTTTTTCTGTGCACTAATGAGCTGTTGCCCTGTGACAAGTATGGTCATATAACTAAAGATAACATATGTATGCACAGGAGGGATAAATGAAGGATGCAGTTGCATTTCCAAGGTATAGTTCAGCCATGTGCTATATTTAAAATCTTAATCTTCTTTTAATGTATATTCATATAAAGCATGTGTGTGTGTGTTTCAGCATTTACCTTATGTACAGAAAGAAATTACTAACCTTCTGTTCATGAGAAAAAAAAAAAAAACCAAAAAATTGCCATAGCTTCAGGACTGTTTGAATTCTGGGCTACTCTATGAGGTACAGCTACACCACCACATTTCACTTAAGACTAATGAAACAGGCCCTGTAAGTGAGTTGTAGTTTAGATTCCAACGGCACTGAGAAGCAGAATGAAAAAGAACCAATTTCTTGGCATGGATTCCAAAGATTTTTTGGGATGAGTTTAAATTTCAGACTTGTTGAACTGACAAATAGATTGAGATCTTTCCTCTTTTAAACCACCCCTCACCCCTACTGCCATCCTCAAGAAAAGCTTCTGTATTTTCAGAAAGTTGGGCAAACTTCTATGTTTTCAAGGGGATCAGCTGCAAAATGAGTAGCTCACATTTATAAACCATAGAAGACTGATCCCAGGAGTAGAAGTATGGGAGACGGAAGTATTGAAAACATCTGAATTCGGGTATTAATCATGAGAACGAAGAGGCTGGGCTCCCTTCCCCTCCTGTCAATAGAACCTTCAGGAATTGTGGCTGGAGATGCCATGGACCTCACAGTGACTGTGCACAGACACACCTCTTTAGACTTTAATTCAGTCTGCAACTATTAGTGACGTATCTAAGAAAAAATTAAATCTGACAAAAATTATGTTTTAAGGGACTGAAAGGATGTACAAATTTATACCGACTTTAGCCAATAGCTTTAGAAGAGGTTTTCTTCACACGTGACATGGTTTAATTTTGGCCTATCTAAATGTAGTATTTCAATCACTAATTTTAAAATTAACCAGAGTTCAGAATGAAGGAAGTTGACAAAACTAACGCCAAAGGAAACATTTAATTTCACATTGAATAAGAAGTTTTGATGACCTAAGAAGATACGCTTTTCATGCCGTGTTGACACAGCCTGTCCTCAACACTACCTTTTCTTGCTCAATACTGAGCTACTTTTCCTAAGTTGTTCTACTGGTTATCAAATTAAATTGTCTTTTATTCTAGTTCTAAAGAAAACATTCCAGTGTCTTCTGACTATAAAATACATTTTCTGATACATTGTGAAATACTGCCAAGATTTTATTTTATTGTTCAACTTTCATATAACTTCATTTATTCTTATTTTGTTTCTTAAATTTCTCCTCTGTTAGTTGTCTTTTTTTTTTCTGTTTTCCTGCACTGAAGGCTGTCCAGTTTTCAGCTGACTTCCTTGGCATCTTTTTTTCTTAGTTGGCCTTCATATATATCTTCTGTTATTTTTAAAGCAGTTCTTCACATTTTCTCTCCTTATTCCTTTATGTCAATTATTTCTTCACCTCATCCATTCACTGCACTAGCTTAGGGTCTTCTACACAGTTAGTCCTGTTTAGGTGTCCTTGCGCTCACCCTGAAGAAGAGAAGATATGAACCAAATCCATGAAACAAGTGAGATGACCAGAGGAGCATTTCTCCAGCATGAAGGTCTCCTCCCGCATTGTTGTCACAGGTGGGAAGGGAGCTGCTATGCGCTGGTGGCCTGCCTGGTTGCACTCAGTATTTCCCCTGGTGAATAGACTTATGGAGGCGCAGGAAGCTGGGCAAGGCTGTGGGAGAGGGAAGAGAAGGGGCTGGCCATGCAGTCCATATAGAGATCTGAATTACAGGCAGTTCCTTCTCATCCTACAGCTTATTTTCACCCAGGAGGGTCAAATTTTTACAGTTATATCTATCCCTTATAGAAATTGTAGATGAACTTAAATATCACATTTAGTGAGGCAGGCATTAAGCTGGAAGGGATATCATCATTGTCTAAGGGAAATGCTTATTACATTTTTGATGCTGCAGCCAGAGAAATTAACTGGCTTACGATCAGGGAATAAACCGAGAATAGTGGGGCAAGAAAGGTCTGCATGGACGTTAGTTACCTAAACAAGGCCAGGGCGTGCATGCAAACATCAGCGTGACAGCTCTCACTGCTCAATAGCTTCACACCCCCAAGCATGGTTTGGCCTGGTGGAGTAATCCTCTCCCATGACATGGTTCAGGCAGGAACTGTGCGAGAGTCCTTCTCCCATGGTAGCATAGACAAAGCCATCCTGTTTAGGGGAGCAGGAGGGTTTAGCTGTGTGAGTGAAATGTTCACTCATGGATCGGGAATCACTTGCAGCTGGGCCCCAGGGTGAGCCCCAGCTGATCTTCATCATGGGTGAAGCTTCTTGTTGACTTGCTGGAATCCACTCTCCTTGCTCTAGCCCATCTTGTGCCTACGCTGACTTGGTAGTGGGCCATCTCCTAAGGTGCTGTCTAACCTAAAATATCCTGTGATTCTGTCCATTTGATATAAAACTCTGTGTAAGAATTTCTCTCTCCATCATCAAGTTGTATTTAGCTTAATTACAACCCTAAGCATCTTGGGATATTTGTTTTAAGCCAATGTTTTCACTTGGAGGGTGTATGATTTTCTTCAGATTCATTGGAGCTACTTTCTGAGGGTACAGTTTTGAGATGCTTAATGTACTTGGCAATTGTCTGTTTATTTGCATACTTAGTCATTCCTGTTGCAGTACTTCTCCTTGAGATGTCTTTTAAGTATTTTCAAGCCCTTAATTCTGTTAAAATAATTTTTCATAAATATTTTGCACCATATGGAAATTCACATTCTAGCAGCAAGTTAATTAATTTCCTATTGAATAGTAGAATGGTGTTATAATAAGTTCAATGTGTGGAAAAGCCTTCATGTTTAACCTTGATGGCATTTGAAATGGCCATTTCTGCTAAGAAAGATTTAGCAGCTGCAGATTAAAGTTTCTTGTAAATTGAGAAAATTAGAATTTCTCAAGGTGTCTCCTTTAACCACTTCAAAAACTTTTCCCTTAAGCCCTCTTACCTATGAGATCTCTTTATTTCAGGTAAAGCTGAGGCTGTGAATAAATTGGGCCTTACCTCTTTGTTGGGTGGACTGTGTACTGTGACTTATCCTAAACTCACCTGATAGTCAGGTTAGCGTGATTTAAAAAACTTAGTTTACATTTTACAAAACAGTAACTCCCTCAGGTACACATTCTTTTTACCCTACAGTCAGCATGGGGTTAATGATCTCTTGGCTGATTCACAGTTGAAAGTGATGAGTGAATTTTTAAAGCAGAGGTGTCTTGTTTGCCAACACATTTATTGAAGAGCAGACTCAGTGCAACACAGATGGAAAAACATGAAAGGGAGTGTGGAATACAAGTTTATCCTCCTCTGTAGGTTCCAAAACACTTTCAATTTTATATCTGCTATGTTATTGTATTTGGAAATGGCAGTAAATTCTGAGGTTTTTTTGCTTTCTAATCAGTTCTGTTTTGGTGGGGGCCTTGGAGGGAGGGCTTTATCTGGGTTTTTCTTTCTTTTTGATTTGTGTTTCTCTTTGGTAAACATAGTTGACAAGAACTTTCAGTCTTTTTTTTTTTTGTGTTACTGTTTGCATAGATTGCAAAGGAAATTGTTGAAAAATTTCTGCTATTGTATTTTGGGAATGATGATCTTGCCAAAGTTATTAAAGTTTTGTTGCCCTGAAGAGGGCAATGAGGCAAAATGAGGTATGTAGGAAGAAATCTGAAAGAGAGTGCCCTCCGAGTCTCAAAACCAGGGTATATTTGAGAAAGTGTTGGGCCTCTGGGCAGATGAGAGTCACCTGATCACTAACCAGCAATTAAAACATGCATGGTAAGTGGATAATTACTGTAAACAGTAGGATTCTTCATGCTTTAGCTTGTCTGATGCTGTCACACCCAATTGTATATATCTCCTGGACAATGCGTAGTGCAGACTCTCACTGGACAGCATGTTTTGCAAGAGCTGTTTGCCTTGCAGGAGCAATCCCAGAGTTCATTTATGGTTCCCTTGGTAATTTCACATCCTCTCACCTTTTCGAATATTGTTTGCCTTGCCTACAGCATCTACCTGTAATAACTGCTTACCAGATTCATTAGATGTGAATTCATCGCCACTTACACTATAGATTTGTTCGGTTTTCATTCAGCAGCATACTGCAAGAATGGGTCATGTGCATGTCTAGTATGTTTAGCACGTCTAGTCAGATGTATGTCACTAGAACAAAAATTCTTTGGCAATAAATTTAATACTGACTTTTCTTGTGCTAACACCACCTTTTAATTTTTATGAAAGTGGTATTATAACGAGAATAGGGACTGCTTTATGCAGTATTATATGACAATGTAAGGAAAATTTGCATCTCTAACTGGGCAACAATACTTGCCAATAGGCTGGTTAATAATTTAAGTGACTTGCAAATTCAGGTGCAAAAGTCAAGTGATTTTTGCCTCAGATTCTCAAGCTACCTACTGATATTGCAGTCATGCTGAACCCTTTGGACAGGAGCAGGTATACAAAAAAATGCTAATTTTTTGGTATTCCTTTGTAATATCTGGAGAAAAAATTGACTGATTTATCAAATAGCTTTTTAATTTTTAAAGGTGCAATTCCTAATAACATTGGATTGATTTGCGAGAAATTCCCCTGTATCTTGCTGGTTCTACACCCTTCCAACTCGAACAGGACAGAGGATGATAAAAGATTATTTTTTTGTCCATCTGTCGTCTCAAAACTAGATCTGCTCTTCTTTCTTACAATCTGCAGGAGTGGATAAGGCTTAACCTTGCTGAAAGAATTATGCTTGTTTTTTGCTATTAACAGGCCGAGCTCTGATAACAGGCGCCACAACATCCGGGAGAGGATATCCAGTACCAACGAGAAGGGGAGCCTGTCCATGGAATCCACCAAGGAGACCCGGTACTGTGCTGTCTGCAATGACTACGCTTCAGGCTACCATTATGGGGTTTGGTCTTGTGAGGGCTGCAAAGCTTTTTTCAAAAGGAGTATTCAAGGTAATAAACTATTCAAGTGAATCACCTTTACTCTTCAGGAAAATGTGGAGCTACTTAAGATTGCAGCCTGAGCCCAGGACAATGACATTTATTGGGTTTTCATTAGCAGCTGCTGTGCTCTCCCCTATATTTTTAGATCTGTGTCTGGTGAATGTTACCAGCAGGTATATAATATGACTTTATTTAGTTCAAGATTAATGAGGGAAAGAAAATCTTCTCTACGTTCTTCTCGGTTTAGGTATGTCTGACCATAAAGGCAGTGAGAAATCTAATTTAAAAATCTGTATTGGATCAAGATGGCCACTCTTTCAGGCTCTTTTCTGTGATTAAGTTTTTATCCAAAATAATATTTTTTGAGAATTCCCTGTCAGATGAAGAATAATTCACATCAATTGATTTATTAATCTTAATTTAGTGCTCCATTAGCAAGATGGTTCAATCCAAATCTCAGCTCCTTGAAGATGTGAGATGTCTTTTGAGAACCAATATTGAAAAGGAATGTTTCCTTGAAATAGAATTTGTACCTGTCAGCAAAGCAGGGCTTTGAACCATACACAGAATTGTTTAGTTCACAGTCTTATCATGGCTACAAGTACAGTGTGCAAGGTGTTCAATAGAGTGAGGGGCATCTAACAGAAACAGTGTTAATTATTATGACAGAGATAATTCTTGATTTAAATGCCCATCACTCTGCGGAATGGACAGTTTTCTGCTTTGTTCAACATCTCCTAAACTGAGTAAGATGCATGATTCTACTGAAAATATGGGTATTGTTCAGTATCTAAGTCCTGTTTTGGAGAAGAAAATAAAACAGATTTCTTCCTTTCCAAACAGAAGACTATTAAAGCACTAGGCTTTAGTTAGGTATCTATAGTTTTTTTAAATTTCCAGGTGATATATATGCACAGAAATTCCTGTCACTCTTTTTTTTGAAATAAACATAGTGAGGAACAGTATTTACCTCCTATCAGAAGGAATGATTATTGGCTGCTTTGTTGCATGACTACCACTGAGGTGATTTAAATAAGACTTCCAGCATTCAGCACAGAATTTTCCCCACCTTAATGAAAAAAGTGAAAGATTGGCTGCGGGGTAGACATTGATGAAATGGTTTGAATGGCAGTGATTAGTTAATAGTTACTTGTATTTCTGCTTCTCCAGACTAATCAAAATGATTTTTAGAAAAGAGAGTGGTTACAGCCAGAGGTCGATAATAAGCAATACCTGAGGAAGAAAGCGTGAAATTATTTTGTCTAAACATCAGAATAATTTACTTAAATTTGTGACGTAGGGAGAACTGCTCCCTTATTGAGTGTTTTTCATTATTGTTTGTTTTGAGTTCTCCTGACCAAATCAGAACTATTCTTAATATTTTCAAAATCTGTCCTTCTACTCAAACTGAACTAAGTCAGCAACAAACTGAAAATTGAAATAATCTTAAGCAAAAGTAAGAGTTTGTTATCAAGTAATTGTACAGCACAGATCTTCAGCTTCTGTACCTTATGGAAGAAGAAATGAATTTGACTGTTTCATTGAGTTCCATGGTTCTATGTCAGCACTTGAGTGGTTTTGCCCTAGCCTACATGTGGAGAAACGTTGTGGTCCTCCACAATAGGTCTGTCATCTATTTATGCTAAAATACATGTTAATTAGTAAATTTAGTTCTTGCTACATTTATATACTTCACATAATTTTTAACTAGGTAAGCCTGAAAAATTTAAAGCTTATGTTTCCACTGTCCCGTAAAATTCTTTATCTTTGAGTCCTGTTTGCCCTAATTTAAGCCCATTGCCTCTTGCCCTATCCTTTGTGGACATGATGAAAACTTATTACAACAACCTTTTACATAGTTGAAGACTGTTATCATATCTTTCTTCAGTCTTCTGTTTTTTTTAGACTAAACAAACCCACTTCTTTCAGTAGAACTTGCTTCCTAGACTTCTGATACCATTTGTTAGACGACTCTGTCCTTTCTCCAGTTGATCCTTCTCTTTTGCAAGTAACATCCATCGTAAAAAATTACATCCACTAATATCAAGAAAGTAATTCAAGAATATGAGTACTTATGAGAGAACTGTGACCACTTGATCACAGATGGTATGAAAAGTCCTCTAAAGGACTTTTAAAGTCACAGGTACACAGTCTTCATGAACTGAGGGATTTTTTGATTTTCCTGCTGGATCTGGAAGAGATCTCTACCTCAGCAATTACATATTCTAATTGGACTTGTGTCCAATTTATGAAAATGACAGTAATTTTAAGACTGACAATGCATGAGAAAACATGTCATTTACCTTGCAGATAGTAATAATTCTAAATAGGTTATGATCAGATATCTAGGAATGAATACTACTTATGTGTAGATGTGTAGGAGAATACGTGGACTAAATATTGTTATATCTGCATTGTATATATGATATCCATTCCTAGAAAGGGACAAAAATTTCTTAGGAATCATATGGTTAAATTGTGTTGAGGTACACAGGACCTGTTTGTATAAGCAAAAATACCACTGAATGCTTTCAGCATAGATTTTTATTACTGTTTATAGTGCATTTTTCTTTAAATGGAAGATAACCACGCTACATATGTTCCTGTATTTCTCAGTACTTATATAGATGCAGAGGTGATTGGTCATTTTTATACTTCTTATAAGAGATTTCATAGGAGAATTCCTGTAGTGAAGTTTGATGTTCTTAATAGACTGTAGTCAAATATTCTATATGGTTCTTAATAGAACTACAGGAAAATGTGAGTACAGATGTGAACAGTGAACAAGCTATGGGGTAATTAATTTACTCTCTGCATTTCTGTGATTCTCAGTAATATGAGATATCTATGCTTACTTGCGTAAGTATATACTTAAATTTTGTGAAAGCTCACTTCTGCATCAGACCTTACCCGAGATGGAGAAGGATAGCTTCATTTTTATCCAGGGGAGCTGGAATGGTTCTGGAAATATTTTGTGAATTTTAAATGCTAAGTTGTTTTTCTTTGCTGTCAAATAGTTACAGCTTAAAAGGCAAACTGAATTAGTAACTGTGTCTCAATATGTGCAACTGCTCAATTTTGTTTAAACAACAGATGTTTTGGTGGAAAATCTCAGCTGCCTCCCGAAACTGCCCATGTCAGTCTATTTTGTTAGTTTATGTCCCAAAAGTGATTTGGGACCTTGGTTTGAGAAAACTCTGTGCAGACTGATATTATGTATAATGTTTAATGGGAGAGAAAAATCATATGACATCAAGAACACTGTGTTGCTTGGTGATAGAAGAGTGCTTTCTTCTTTGCCTGGCATATGTAGCCTTCGAGAGTGTACTTGCTCAACTGACTTGAATCCAGAAGCATAACAAGCAGTCACATCACAGCACACTGTACTCTTCTACTAAAATATTTGTAGATTTTTAAGACCAAGAAGGGCAATTAGATCATGAAGTCTGGTCTTCTCTCAATATAAACTTTATATGTTATCCGTGTACAAAGCCTGGTAACTTGGTGGAGATAAATCTTTTAGAAGATGTCCAGCCTTGATTTGTGGGCTCACAAGCTTTCTTACAATGATTGCTTATTCTAATAATTTGTCCTCCCATCTGCTAAAAAATTATCTTTCTAATTTTAATTGCTTTGGCTTATACATCACATCCATGAACAAGACTTAGTACCTTGTATCTCTCTCCTGTGGGAAGTTCTTACAACTTGTTATGATCAAATCATCTTGATATCTTAAGTGAATTAAAATGTTGCAATCTCCTGCTGTACATCTTTCTATCTTCTGAGTCCTTTGTCTTACCACATTTTCTGATCCCCCCACACCCACAATAGCCTCTTTAAAATTTAGATGTCAGAACTGGATGAAGTACAGTTACAAATGCCGTTTACAAATTAAAAATCCCCTTGTGACTCACACATTCTTTCCTCCTCCTTCTAATTCTCTTGCTTTTTGGGTAGCCACCAAAGTGTATGGGACAGGAAGGAATTATTTTTACCATCGCTGACAAGCATCCAGCAAATGCCTACATAAGTGGGGCTGAGAACCCCCAGTGGGAGCACAAGGGGTTCAGAACAAATGAGAGGCAACTCTTTACATTGGAGTATATCTCGATCTCAGAGCTGATGAAGGATTTTAGAAATCCTCAGTTCTGTTTCCCTGCCTCCTTCATGTCCCTGCTGATGTTTTTCAGGTGCACCTCCTCTGCCTTTTCTCACAACTGTATACTTGGGCAAAACTCTGGGATATTTCACAAATATTCAGTTAAGAATTACTGCATGATGGGAGGCAGTACCAGTCCAGTAAGAACAGGCTGACATCTGAGAATGGATGAATAGCCTTCCTGAGGGATTCCAGTGGCCTGCCATTAGTGCCTTGATCACAGAGATATAGTGGTGTCTGAAGTGCAGGAATTCTTTAAGCTGGGAAGTATTATAGTTTTGTGGCTTGAACATGGATTTTATTTAACAGTTATGCCTTCTGACCATCAAGTAAGAGAGTTTTGGCAGTAGACTGAGTGTTATCAATTGTTATAACTTCACAGTGATAGAGCTGTACTTTGTCGAAAGTATGTTGTTCAAACTTTCATGCTAGGAGTGGTAGTAAATATGCATATATTTTTGTTGGAGTTGGAGAGAATTTCACTGGTAAAACATGCCTAATAAGTGGGTGTTCAGGTAATTCTGCAGTGCAGAAATTGCAATGTTGTCAATTTGGGAGGTTTCTGAGATCTTCCCTTTAACTTTCCATTATAGCCTTCTGTTTTCATTATATTTTTGTAATCTTTTTGATAACAGCAGCAAAAGCTGCACAGATCCTGCAGCCGAGAAGACAGAAACTCCCAAATAAGACTGCTTGTACACTGGTTCTGTGAGTTGTCATCAGAAAGAGCAAAACTAAAATAACATGAATCTAAGTGAGACTTGCAGAGGTAATCACGGCCAACAAACAGGGGGCTGCAGGCTGGTATCTAGTCTCAGGGTAGAAAACACACGGTTGCAGTTCAAGAGGT